AATTAAATTTTTTTTTAAATAATTGATTATTAATCATTAAAAAGGTGCAAATAATCGTACTTAATCATTAAATGGTTACCAAAAAAAACATGGTTTAATTAATAATCATTATGATTATTAATCATTATTAAACAGGTCTGGTTCAATCACATATCTAATTTTTATATGTATTTTATATGCACGTTACTTTAAAAATAGGAATTTGAAAAATTCATTTATTAATTTTTGGCATTCAGTATGCAATAATACTTTTTGTAAAGAAAAAATCCTTTTTTTGTTCGATTCTATGTGCTCAATGTGCTTTCATATTTTGAGGCTGATGAATGCAAAATTTCAACAAACAGTAAAACCAGCTTAAGTACCTCACGAAAAATGTCAGCTTTTTGAGGTACTTAGGCGGGTTGGGTACTTAAAATAACCCGCTTAAGTACCTCGATGCGGGTACTTAAGCGAACATAATTACTGATGTAGTTACATCTTCTTGTTAACTTACATAAATACTTGAATAACAACTTTTAATGAAGTATACATAGTTTAAAACCAAAATCGTAGCATTATTTAAACACATAAACAAGTAAAGAAAAACTTTATTAAAAAAATATTTAGTGCAATGGTATGTCATTTTTACTAGAATTAAATTGTTTAAAAAGTTAAAGTTGGACTTATCATTTTGTACCAAATTCAAAATGATATTGTTTGCCACTTATGTCTATTTATTAATTTTTAAGGCTTTCCAATCAATTAAAATGCAGTTCATTCCCTAAAAAATACCATATATGTAAACCCAAGCTTAAGATTTTGTAGAACACTTAAACAAAAAATTCATCATAATTTCAAACTTTTTTCTCAGAAGTGTTTTTTGAGTATACAGTTTTATAGCACATTCAATTTTAGTGCAAGGTTCAAGTGGCTAAAAGTTACCGTTGATTTTTTAGAATTTTTTTAAATAAATAATATTTTAAGGAATTTTAAAAGAGCACTTAAAAGGGGAAAATTATAAGTAAAATTGTAAATGGGGCACGAAAAATTGAGGTACTTGGGCGGGTTGGGTAAATAAGCGGGGAGGTACTTAAGAGAGCGATTTTCTTCTGATTATATTAAAAAATTCGCGGTGTCCAAAAATGTTGGTTACTTAAGCGGGTTAGGTACTTAAGCGGGGGGGGGGGGGGGGGGGGTACTTAAGCGGGTTTCACTGTATTTAGTAAATTACATGCCAAGTCTCACTCCTCAATAGATATTAAATTCGCCTTGAATTGATTCTTATTTGACTTGGGAACTAGGCTGTCAACTTTTCCAATATTTTGGCCTTGGATTCAATGTATATCACTATGAAAAACATATTGCCCGAAAAGGTCCGACAAGTAAACAAAATAACAGTTTTTTGAAATGTTTGGTAAAAATAAATTTCCTCATTTGAAATGATTGAAACAAATATAACATCAAAAGCAAATCAAAAAGATGTGGCCCGAAATTATAGTGCACACTTTCTTTTTTCATGTCTAGTAGTTTTTTTTTAATATTGGTCCACAAACTCATTATAAAGAAAGAAAGTATTTAAAGCATTGAAAACAAAAAAAAATTAATAAACAAAAGGACTATGTTCTCTTTGACGTACGTCAAAGATCAAGTAAAAGTGGGAACTTGTATGACTGTTGATTGATATCTCGGTTATGTAGCTTGAGAAATAATATGTCTAAAGACCCTTTTATCAAAGTTGATAAGTCTGACTTTTGACCATTCTTTTTACATAAATACTCCTCCGGCGCTCGTCTAATATGACCTAATGTCCCATCTTGACAGGTAAAAAATATTGGCTACAATTTTTAATTTTTTTTTCCAGACGTTTTATTAGATCACTTGCACAACAATTCGCATTCGCAAAAGCTCCGCATTGATTACACAGGTCCACAAAAAAAATCGATGAAAGGTTCCTTTGACCAAACCTAATCTGTTATATGTTTTTGGGGTCGCTGGACACGAAGTCGATTTTGCTCCATCACGTCTGGATTTTTTTCTAACCTCAAAAACATCTCTGATTTTACGGGACAGAGAAACCCCGAGGTGTTTTTTGAGGTTAGGAAAAAAATCTAGACGTGATGGAGCAAAACGGACTTCGGATTCGTGTTCAGCGACCCCAAGACCACATAACAGACTAGGTTTGGTCAAAGGAACCTTTCATCGATTTTCTTTTGTGGTCCTGTGTTATTGCGAATGTGAAAGCGAATGTTCAAATTAACGCGGAATCTCCGCGGTTGCGAATGCGAATGCGAATTATCGCAACAACCGTAGTTTAAAATTTTTACACATTTTTCCTTTTCAACATTTCCCTCCCGCTCGCATTATATGTATCTACTTTATTTTTCTACTACTCGTTCAAATATTCGTGTTTTATGGTTAGCTTTGTGGCTGTCCAGGTCGGTATAAAATTGACATGTTGATGATATTGACGTTACCGCTCCAGCGGCTATGCATCTACTTGTACATATACATACATATTTATTCCTACACATAAATATATTCATATTTTTCTGTATAGGTATGCATGCTGTGAGGCATACTTCCATAGGCACTTTATCAATATATTAGTTTATGTGTACGGTGTTACGTAGATGGCTTCGTGGTTTCTTTGTTTGACGCTGTCATTAGCAGGAAAGTAATTTTCACTGCAACTGAGCGGCTGACAGTGGTAGTTATAATTCAGCCTTTGGCTTCTCAAGAGTGTGGGTTGCTAATGATAAGTCCAGTATATAGTTATATTTATGGGGGTCGCTGTGGTGTAGTGATTAGCAGTTTATTTCTGCCATAAAAAAGCTTCTAATAAAATCCATTTGCCATTCGGTGGCGGTATAAAACGATAGGTCCCACTATTTGTGTAACAACATCAAGACTCACACCAGAAATTGGAGCAGAAGCTCGGCCATAAACTTAGCAAAAAGTAAAGCACCATTCGGAGTCGGCGTAAAACTGTAGGTCCCACCATTTGTTTAACAACATCAAGACTGACACCAGAAATTGGAGCAGAAGCTTGGCCAAACACTTAGCAAAAAGTAAAGCGCCGTTCGGAGTCGGCGTAAAACTGTAGATCACTCCACTATGTGTGACAACATCAAGGCGCACGCCACAAATCGGAGGAGATGCTTAACCAAACGCAAACATACATATGTCCCAATCTATTATATTATAAAAGAAAAAAACGATTTAAAATCAGTGCGATTTTTTGCCGCTGAAAACTTCCACTTATTTTTCTCAAATTTCATAAGCCTTGTAACTGCACACCCAAACATTTTATAAATTTTCTTATTAAAAAGCTCAAAATTTAGATGAAAATTTGTTGTAGTTTTCTCGATTCTGTATGAAGTTTGTGTTGTATGGTTTTGGTTAAAGCATGAACCATATTAAAAAAAAAAAAAATAACAGATATTTTGGCTTGAAAACTATTAGGGATATTCGTCTAACATAACAAACAACCGATAAAAGTGATAAAATTATAATTTTTTATTGAATTTATAATTTTATCCCGTTTATCAGCAGTTTATTACGTCATATATATACCCCTATTATAAATATTAAATACAAAACACCATTCAACCAGTTTTGATGGCCACTGTATATAAATCCCACGCATAACATGTTAACAAGTTATAAAAATAGAGGCTGTACACTAGGGTGGTCAAAAAAAAAGTAAAGTCGGAATTTAAATGCTCTCACCTCCTAGGATTGCTCTATACCGAAAAATTTACCTTTATCTTTTTATTTTAAAATCAAACAATATTTAGAAGTCGCTCAAAGCGCTCAAATTTCTACATGTATTTTATATGGGAAAAAACCAAAATAAAAAACAGGGGTATATTTTTTCCGTTATAGAACAAATCTAGGGGGTTAGAGCATAAAAGTTCCGACTTTACTTTTTCATATGCATTTTTGCACCACCGTAATATACACAAATTAAAAAAAAAATAGCAAGGTTTCAAAGTTTTGTAGCCTATTGAATTTTAACATAATGGAAAGCAAGTTTGAGGCTGCTAGAGCTTACCCTTGATTTTGGATATTTTTTTTTTGCTACTTGTGTTGTACATTTTCTCATTTTCTTATGTTCGACGATTTTATTCAATGGGCTTCAAAACTAGCTGCTTTACCATTATAATAATTTTTCATACGCAATGGCACAGCATAAAACTTAAGCAATTGCTTTTTCTTAAAATTTCAGACTTGTTTTTCGATTTTTTCAAATAAATTTAAGTGAAAGGTATAAAATATTAGGTGTAAGCAATTGCTTAGCTTTTATGCATACCGCCAAATGTCTTTTGAAATTACTGCTATTTTTTATAATTTTTTTAAATAACGATCAATTCCAAAATTTATTTTGAATACATTAATATATCTGATCATATTAAAAGTGCACGCGGATTTTTCGGTAAATTTCAGAAAAAAAAAATTCTAAAAAATTTTGAATCAAGTACACATTGACCATTTTGCCATTTTTTGGGTAGCTTCATAATTCCATCTGTTACAAATGATGTTACCAAGATAATCCTTTATTGAAAAAGAAGTACTTTTACAGTTGTATTTTGCCTTTTATGCCTTGAGAAAAACAAGTAAAATGTACAATGAAAGGAAATATCAAATAATCATGACTCGAAAGTCGAAGCTCGAAACAAATGAATATAAAACAAGGTTGCATTAATTCTAAAGTTACCTTAATGGCTTAACCATATTGAACATTCTGCCCAGGCGAGGCGATCGTCTCGAAATCTTCGCTGCCTAAGAGCCGACATAATTTTTGGTCTGCCTGGGTAGGGCATCCACTGCTGCTTTTTAGTGTCACATTTCGGATGGCTTCGTCCCCTCCTGGATGGACTGCTATCAGTCGACCCACAGCCGCCATTGAGTTGGAATTAAATTTGCATGCTACTTGTTTCGCCTCTGCAGAGTTGACAAATATTCCTCGCTCCGACGATGCCAAAACTTTTGGCGAACCTGCCTCACGCATTGCCTTTGCTTCAGGCGATTGCAGGAGCTTGGCTGATATCAGGTCCTGGTACGGCTAAAAGCAGGGAGCCAACTAGGAAATCGCCAGGTGTAAGGGCGAGCTTGTCCTCAGGATCGTCATGAAGTGGACGCGAATTTAGACACGCTTCAACTAATGTCGCCAAAGTCTGCATTTGGCTGTACAACATCGTCTGAGCACTAACACAGCGAACTAGATGGTGTTTGGCGGATTTAACGGCGGCCTCCCAGAGCCCGCCGTGATGCGGCGCGTTTGGGGTAATAAAATGCCACTGCGTACCCATAGCTGCTAACAATTTTTGATTGTTGTCCGTGTACCAGGCCACAACATCCTCTTGTAATTGTCGATTAGCGCCGATGAAAGCTGTGCCATTATCACAGTATAAATCGCGACATGGTCACTGCCTTGGTTGCCATGCAAATGAAAATAGCGAGGTAAGTTTTAACCATTGTGCGAGAACGTTTGGTTCCCGTACGCAACATAAACGGACCACAATAGTCTACGCCGGAAGCAGCAAAATCTCGTGCAACATTAACGCGCTGCCTAGGTAAAGGTGCCATCTGTTGCATCAATAACGCTCCGCGATGTCGACGACAGGCGTAGCCAGGTAGGTGCAAGGCGCTCAGTTATAAAAATCAGAAAGATATTAAATTAGTTATAAAGCTTAAACTAAAAAGGCCTTATATTAAGGAAGAGTATGGAATTATTTTGTGTAATTTAGTTATTTTTTTATTTTTATTAATTGTTGCTTTGAAAAAGATATCTAAGATATCCTTGCTTGTTTGCTCCTAATTTTAGGTTGAACCGGGCACGACAGCGTTCATTTGTAACAATAAGTTGCACAAAAAATTAAAAAAATTTTACTCCTTATTTATATTTGTACTACTTTTTTTCTATCGATAATAAAAATGTACTGCTTTCTCCGTTTCAGAATCTGGCAACCCTCCTTTGCATTTACTCCTAGCCGAATTAAAAAAATTTTACTCCTTATTTATATTTGTACTGCTTTTGTTCTATCGATAATAGAAATGTACTGCTTTCTCCGTTTCAGAATCTGGCAACCCTCGTTTGCATTTACTCCTAGCCGAACACAAAGAAGTTTCACTTAGAAATCGAAATTTCAACCCTACTGCTGCTACATATTCAATATGCCTTGATGCAGATTAAAACTACTCTGAATATTACTTCTCAAATTAACTGGAATAGAGTCAAAAAGTCATTTACTAGATTTGTGTATGGATCCTTCTATCAGGATGGTTGATTTAGTTGTTTTT